AGCCTCAGAGCTCCAAGGCCACAACATGTCTAAGAGTGTGCTGTTTATATAATTAATGAGTCTTTGGCCACAATGTGAGGTGGTTCTCAAAACATTTAGACTCTTTCTTGTTCTATTTGTTTTTTGCTTTGGGTAGAAATATGTTTTGACTCTGACACAACTTTCAGCATTTCCATCATTGTAAGTAAGTAAGACAAACTCTGGCTAGATCAGAACAGGGCTGATTACCTTGTATAAGGGTTGTATGATGTTGTGTTCTCTCTTTGCAAAGATTAAATAAGATGCCGACTGAATGAAATCCATCGATCTCCGTTTAATTAACTGGAGAGTTGAATAATTTTTCCCCACGGAACCTTGTGATTATTTTTAGAAATTAGAATTTCTCACCACTAATACAACAAAACAGTTTTTACAAGATAAGCTTTAACTCCTACCAGAAAATTTAGTTTGATCATTTTGTTCTCACATAAAATAACTCAACTTAAGTCTAAAAGGTATTTCAAAAATGCCAAGATTAAGCTTGTAGTACTTTGGCCTGACCATGTGATGATCTGTTTTGTTCTGCAAAATTGAATGAATCTTTTAGTTGTCAAAGAGATTTTGAAGATAACACATATACAAAAGACTGAAAAAGAAATGTTACACTGATTACTAAAAACATTCAAGTTTTTTGATAGTGAATATCCTAAATCCTACTATTAAAGAAAATAAGAAAATACAGAGTACTTAAGGCTCCAGATTCTCCCACTAACCTTTCCTAAATTGCTGCAAAAATGTGTCATACCCACTATAACCCAATATTTGTTTCAAATATCTGTTGCATTCTGCTGCTGCCTGAGGGCTGGAGCAGACTGCAGGGAGTTTGTAGATTTTTAATTTGGAAATAATATAAAAGAACCATGGTGGCTGTGATTTTTAACCTCAAATCCCATCTTTGTCACAGATTCTGATAATTACTCATCAGGCAAAGAGTTCATCAACTCATACTTATAAAAATTGGATAGTCGAGTCAAATTCATGACCCTGATCCAATTAAAATGTTGTAGTGATACTTGAGGCATTCAGCTGCATAGGAACACCTATTATCTCCCAGCTGCTGAGTGGAAATATAATTGTTTGGAATACCTTTTTTTTGTTCTCCGTTCCAGGATTACAGCAAGATAAAACACATGGATGATGGTCCTTTTTACACACTGCAATTGAACTCAAAACTCAACACTCTCAATCAGTTGTACCAGTTGTGTCAGTTCAACCTGCTAACTTTGATTTCTCTCCTTTTCTGATTACACATGATATCCACTACCTTCCTCTTGTGAACGCATGAAACATAACGCTCTTGAACAGCATGAATAATGCATAAACTGTATGTACTTTGGTGTTATTTTGGTTCCCAGAGGACAGGGATGTTCTTTCATGGCTTTGCTGGTTTGTGCTCTCTTTCCAGCTTTGACAAATGTGAAGCTGTGGGCCATCGACCGACAATGCTTTCAGACGATCATGATGAGGACGGGGCTCATTAAACACACAGAGTATATGGAGTTTCTGAAAAGGTGAGCAACGACAGCTAATTGTCTCACGGTGACAGGAAGTGGTCTGAATAGGTCTTTGATCTGAAATTCAATGAATGAATTAACAAAATGAATTCAGAAAAGTGTGTGTGTGTGCTCTCAATAAAATTATTTTATATTTCTTTATTTTCTGTGCAGTATCTGTGTTAACAGTGTTCAGAGACAGCCTGGTCTGACCATCTGCAAAGCATGCTTTGCATCTTGGCTCTAGAAGTTCAGTGTTCTTAATGATATGCAAAGTGACAAAGCAGTAACCACTTTTCTGGAGAGGTTATTATAATAATAAAAAAAACTCTTGAAGATAAAGTAGAAGATAAAAGAAATGAGGATGGAAGGAGATTAAAAATTAGATATTAAATTACTCATACCCCTGCTTTTTTTTTTGTTTAGCTTTAATTCACTTTGAGGTTAAGCGAATTGAGGATCTTTGTAATTTTCTTTTTCTGCTTTGACTTAATTTGGATTCTTGCGTAATTTCTATTCATTACTGCTCATTATTTCTAAAGTCCTCAATAATATTGGACCACATATTCTACTTTAATGAGTGAGGTATAGGGCACAGCAAGAAAGGATGCACTACACATTGCAATTGTCCATTTTGCAAACAATGCCATATGTTTTTACCCTTTTTTTTCTCCAATGATACTCTTTTAGTTTTTGTAGAGCTGTTCTACAAGTTACTCCAAAGATTGTTAGCCTGTCAACTTCTGTTGATCAGAATGTTCTCAGTTTAACTACACACAGTGCTATATGTAATCTTAAAGAACAAGTGAGAAAAAAGAACAAATCTTGAAAGCAATTACTGTGGGATAAATTCATAGAGATACTCAGACACACCAAAACCTCCACAAACCAGTTTCCATGTCAGTTTACTAAATCTGATTCTTACATAGTGTAGCAGTTCTGTGTAAACAGTACCTCTCTGCACTGATACAGCCTATATATGCTTAAATGAAGCATTATGTATGTATTTAGGCCAACATACACAGATATTTCCGTATGTTTATCCAAGTTATATCCACACAGCTGTTGAATTATTAAGGCACAGTTTTTGCACTGTGCAGATCAAATAAAAACTATAAGGTGAATGTTGCCAACATTTTAGCAGAGAAAGAAAAAAACAAAAGACGTTTTTATGAAAAAGGCAATGTAAAGCTCAGAAAGTTCACCAGCCACTATACAAAAGAGAGGGAAAAAACTAAGTATATAGAGGAAAACCGATGCATGCACAAATAGGACATGTAAGCTTCACGTAGAAAGACCACAGACGGGGATTCGAACCCCAAACCTTGCTTCTGTGAGGCAACAATGCTCATAGTAACTGCATAACTCTTCACACAGCATTATTATGATAAACTTTACTATTCCTAAACATTTGGTGAGGACTTAGATGCTGTCAGGACCTGGAGTTTGCTGTTCAAAAATATCTTTCTGTATTTCCTCGAACACTTCTTCATCTGTTGTGTTTTCAGTTGATGGGAGGACAATTACAACCTGATGCAAAAAAAATAAAAACATCTTTGATAATTTCTTCCACCTGCTGAATATCTTGAACCAGTTTTCATCTCTATCTAGTGTGGTCTGCTTTGGAAATATGTTACAGAAACAAAGCTAAGAAGCAAATATTAAAATAAGCATACCCTCTTTGTATATTTTCTTGATGTTTGCTACTAACAGTTAATTACATATAATGAAATATTAAATTAATTAAAATTGTTCATATGGGTAACTTAGAGTTGTACCGTATTTTCACGACTATAAGGCGCACTTAAACGTCTTTTTTTTCC